GATAAAAAGAAAATACTGCAAGCAGTCAGAGAAAATATGGACATTCTTTGGATAAAAGGGATAGAAGATTCAAACCACAGCTGATTTCTCATCAGAAGCAACAGAGGCCCACAAATTTAGAAAACAATGTTTGTAGATAGTTAAAAGAAAAAGAATTCTATACTCACAAAAAATATCCTCGAGGATGAAGTGAAATAGAAACATTTTTTTAGGCAAAAGGAAATTATTAGTATGAATCACCATAGTCTTACACTAAACCCTTTGTTGGGTCTCATCTCATAAATATTTTCTCCATCCCCCAATAGTGCCACACTAAGTTTTCAAGAAATATTCCCATAGCAGAATATTTAGTATCTAAATCATAAGATCTTTTTTGGATCAACTATAAGAAATAGTTTTTCAAAAGTCCCAAAAGTCCCCATCTAATTCTCTCCAGAGTACTTCCCTTTTATTGAATTAATTTTCTATTCTTTAGTATTAACTACCCCAATCAAATAAAATTCCATAAGCATAAGCCAAGAGAATAAAAGCAGTTATCTAAATAAATATGTGCTTACCAAATTTTTTCCTAAAACCCATGAGAGACAAAAATAAAAGTCCAAAAAGTTCTCCCTATTTCCTGGTGTCTGAGGATTCTGGAATCAGGAGTGGGCACAATTACTGCACCCAGCAAAGGGCAAATCATGCAAAACCCATATGACAATGCTGACATATTATCTGGGTTATGCATGGAGTACCTATAGAATTATTAAATGATGTCATTTCATATTTAAGTTTACGTAACAGGTTTATAAAGGAAAATAAGACAGTCACACAGCCTGTAATACTCAATGTCTTGCTTAATCATTGCTGAGATCCTGTTTAGGATATTTAGAAATGATGGGTGTTTTTTTGTTTTTGTTTTTATTTTTTGTCGGTTATGGGGATTGAACTCTGGGCCTAGGCGCTGTCCCTGCTCTCTTCAGCTCAAGGTAAGCGTTCTACCGCATGAGCCACAGCACCACTTTGGGTTTTCTAGCAGTTTATTGGAGATAAGAGTCTCACGGACTTTCTAGCTCCCTGCTGGCTTTGAACCGTGATCCTTAGATCTTAGCCTCCTGAGTAGCTAGGATGGACAGGCGTAAGCCACCAGCTCCCAGCTTGATGGGTGTTTTATAGATTTCTTTTTCTTTTTCTTTTTCTTTCTTTTTTTTTTTTGTCGGTCGTGGGGCTTGAACTCTGGACCTGGGCTCTGTCCCTCAGCTCTTCAGCTCAAGGCTAGCACTCTACCACTTGAGCCACAGTGCCACCTCTGGTTTTCTGAGTGATTTATTAGAGATAAAAGTCTCCCGGGCTTTCCTGCCTCAGCCGGCTTTGAACTGCTATCCTCAGATCTCAGCCTCCTGAGAAGCTAGGATTACAGGCATGAGCAACCATGCCAGGCTATAGATAAGTTTTATGACACATTTTAGATTAGAAAAAGTGAGGGTGGACTGTTTGTCACAGTAGAAGGAAACATCTACAAAATAATATTTGATTTTCATTGTTTTACTGAAATGAATGTCAGGATTGCTAGCAATCATAAACACACACACAATTAACATCTGGAAGGGAATCTTAAAGATATCCAATGTGAAAGTATACCAGCAAAATACAAAATTCTTATAGACAAGGGTAACTGTACAACATTGTCTACTTCTTAGTTGATGACCATACTTGCACAAACTTCCCAATTCTTTCATACTCTATTCATTTAGCAACCAAATCCTACTCAATAGGTATTGCTGATTTCACATTATGCATATCTTTATATTAACCAGGAAGACCTAAAGAGATCTGAACAGTGTGTTGTTGGAAGTATAGGCGTATCTTTCCTCTGAGAAGCTAGGTAGCATACGGGCACGCTGCAGTAATGCCTCCCTCTCTCAGAGTTCCACATCTGAGAGTTTCTAGTAGAAGATGAAGATGAATGAGGCTGGTCAAGGATGATACTCAGGTTTGGGGATTTGGCTCATTCCCAAGACACTGGCTACAGTTCTCAGAGAAACACCACATTAAGGCTGGGCCAGTACTTTAATAAAAGTTAAAATAAGACCATATTCACCTAATATAAGAGAACCCAGTGAGGAAATGTGAACTTTGAATTCAGACATACTAATTTTGAAGTATGGTAACTTGTCTCAAGTGCACAGAAAGATTGCAAAGGAGAAAAGATTTAGGGGACCTTGGTCCACTGAAGCCTGATGTGACCATGATCATCCAGGAGAATTCTAAATGAAGAGAATCTCAAAGATGGAGTCCCAGGATAGACCAACCGCTTAGGGGACCGTGAGGACAAGAAGCCTAAGAAGATGCTAGAGAAGGAAGTCAAAGTCTCGTACGTGTGTGTTGGGCAATGAGAACACACTGGCTATTTAAATCACTGGAGAATATCAAGGAGAAGCGTTAAACATAAATACACACTTTTCCAACACGATCTTATCAGTGCCAAGCAAGGGTAGATGTTCCAACGCTTAGCTTCCTTCATAAGCTTAGTCTGTGTTGCAGGCAAAATCTTAAAAGAATAAATTGACGTACAAGCGATGCTCCTGTTTCCCAGAATTTATTTAACAAAATATCACAACCTCGGTGGCTTAAAACCTGTGGGAAGTCATCCTCTCTCAGCATGAGAGGCCAGAGTCTGAAATCAAGGTGGGGTCAAATGGATTTCTTCACAGGGAAAATTGGTTCCACAATTCCACAATGCGTGTCATTACTGGCAATCCGCTGTCTCAAGGGAGAATAACTCCTCTCTTCTCCATGATCGCACTGGGTGTCTGGGACCAAATTCTCCCTTCTTAAAAACACAACAGTCGCTGGGTTCATTCAGTATGACCACATCTTAATTTGATTAAATGCACAAAAACTACTATTTCCAAATCAGGTCACGTCCTGAAGTTTTGGGGAGGCCACTAGTCAGCCCAGAACTTCTGCCCTGGTAGTAGCGGCTCCAGTGTACTTCTGCTACAACGAGACTTTAAGAAGGGAATGTATTTTATAAAAAATTAGAATGAACTCCAGGAAATAAGAGTGTTTTTTTTTTCTTTTTTGCTGTTTTTGTTTTGTTTTCCTTTTGTTCTGTGCGTTCATTTATATGTCTCTGGGAGCGTGAGAGAGGCACCAAAATGGAGAGACAAAGGGTGAAAAATACATCACTGGACACTATGTTGAAAATGAACTATACAGCTTGTGGGTAGGGACGGGATGAAAAAATGGGGAGAACGTGAGGGAAGGGATGACACTGACAAAGGAAATGTCATCTTCACTCTGACTTTATGTAACTGGAAACCCTCTGGCACATCACAATTAAATTTTTAACAATTAAAGTTTTTAAAATTATAATGGTGCAAAAAAAATCTATGGATTTTATGTGGGCACCCATTTTACACTTCAATTGAAAGAGTTGCAATAAGAGCTCAAAGTTAAACTTACTTTCCTGACATTCTTCATTCTGAATATGTGTGTGTGTGTGTGTGTGTAAGTGTGTATGCAGGAAGTCAGGCTCCTGCTTATTAGCTTTTGTTGCCCAAGGCTAGCACTCTCCTACTGACTGGAACTGCAAATCCACAGAACCAAGGATTCACTCCTAGTTTCTTGCTGGTTAATTAGTGTTAAAGAGTCTCTTGGATTTATATGCTTGGGCTAAGATCCTCTGACTTCAGCCTCCTGAGTAGCTAGGATTACAGGAGAGAGCCACTGTGCTCAGTTAATTGTGAATATTCTGATTTGCCCTCTCATTTCTGACAAGAGATACTCCTCTCAGTTGATTCTATAAGGAAGACATTGACATTATTCTTTTCTTTCTCTTCAGTGGACTAATAGAATCTGAAAGCCTTCTCAACTCATAAAGATTTGGTTTGATCGTTTCCTTAGCTATGCCCATGACAAAGTAAAGGACTCTGAAAACTCTCTAAGTAATGAGAGGTGTGGCAAAGAATTTTACATTTATACACCAGACAGAATGTGCCTTTTCTTCATCAAATATTTACGATATACCATTAGGTATTAAAGGTACTGGGGTGTAAAAGACTCCTTTCTTTTTGCAGCATTAAGGAGGGAAAAAATGTGCACAAGCATAAAGGTAACACTTCATAATAATTCATCACCTTCCAACCAAGAAGCGATTCTAAGACATCGCTCACGGCTGGTGTTTCTTTTGTGGGAAAGTTTGAGTTCAGGGCCTCCAAGGTGCTTGGTAAGGCACTCTATCACTTGACCCACACCTCCGAGCCATGAGGCCTGTTCTCTCCTTATTTCCCCTCAACCCCTTCCATTGGGACCCTTTCCATGGTCCCCGCTTTTCATACCACCTCCCAAAGTCGATTTGTCTCGCTCTGTTCCATCGTGTAACTATAAAAAGGAGTCAACTATGTCTTTCCAAGGCCCGCACGGTGGAGACGGGGTGACAGGTCTAAGAGGATAAAAAACTAAGGCTTCGGAACTCCAAACAGAATCAAGCTGGGCGTTTGTTTCTAAAGAGACAAAAAGGGAACCCGAGACATCTCTTCCAACAGGTTTGCAAAGCTCTGAACGCCCGATGGAAGGAAACACGGTCACCAGGCTGGCTGAGGAGCGTTTCCTCGGCTGGAAGGTTTGCTGTCGGGGATCCCCGGGGGACTCGGCCTCTGGTTTGGGGGTAACTGAGTGGCCCGGCGGGGAGCCCCTCCCTGAGCGTCCTGCCTGGAGGCGGGGCGCGCGCGGGGGCGCCCAGGCCCGGCCGCCAGCGGAGTTTTCGCTTTCCACTTTTCCGGCCCCAGGGCCTTTCCCACCGCGTCCGTCGGTCTGTCCGCAGGAGTCGGGAGGGGAAGGGGGGGCGGCTCCCCTGGGGACCAAGAGGAGGCAAATTCCTGCGAGTCCCCGGAGTGCCAAGAGTGCGGAGCAAGACGGGAAATTGCAAAAGTCCTCAGCCCTCTGCCCTCCCCCGCCGCCTTCCCGGAACCCCGCCCCAGCGCGCCCCGCAGCTGATTCACAGCCCGAGCCGGGCACGTCCGCACCGACGTCCGCACCGGGCTCCGCACCCGCGCCGCCTGGTGAGTACCCCCGATCCCGGGCCGAGTGTCCCGATCCCGGGCCGAGTGCCCCCGATCCTGCGCCGAGTTCCTCCAGCCCGCACGTCCTGCCCGGCCCCGCGCACCCCGCTTGTCTCCCTAGCTTTCCAGACGGGCAGGCGGGCAACCCCCCGCGCGATGACAGACGGGACCGCGAAGAAGCCCGAACCTCTGCAGCCCTTGGCTGCGGAATGGGGCCGGGTGACCTCCCGTTCCGAGGGGTCCCTGCCTCCGTGCGCCTGCCTGCTGGGTAACACCGAGACGCGAAAGCCTTAGCTGGGGAGCGCTGCGTCCCGTCTCCAGGACAGGGCATCCGAGGTCACAGCCCCGCCGCCTCCCGTGGCAGGTCCTGTCCACCAGAGTCTTTGTCCCAGACCACCGCGTGGGAGTTCACTGCGGTCCCCGTCTTCTCCCCTCCTGACCTCGGCCTCCCACCTGACAGAGCCACTTCCCCGTGGCTGTGACATCTCCATCTCCCCTGTCCTCATGAAGAAGCGCAGGGACAGTCACTGTTCTCAGCCAACAGACCTAGTTGGGGCCGCGGAGCAGGGATGGGGCGCTGGAATCACAGTTCGGGGCCCCCAGGGCCAGGCTGTCTTTCCTCTGACAACTGAGTCCAGTTTTGACAGTTCTTGACTTGCATGCGTCTGTCTGTCCATCTACCCATCCATCCACTCACCCATCCACCCCATCCACCCACCCATCCACCCATCTATCCATCCATCCAGCCACCCACCCACCCATCCATCCATCCATCCATCCACCCACCCACCCATCCATCCATCCATCCACTCATCCCTCCATCCATCTCACCCACCCATCTATCCATCCATCCATTCATCCACCCAAGTACCCATCCATCCACCCACCCATCCATTCATCCATCCATCCATCCATCCATCCATCCATCCATCCATCCATCCATCCATCCATCTATCCATCCATCCATCCATCCATCCATTTATCCATCCATCCACCCCACCCACCCATCTATCCATCCACCCAACTACCCACCCATCCATCCATCCACAACTACCCATTCATCCATCCATCTATCCATCCACCCATCCCACTTGCCATGGGAAGGGGAGGTAGGCATTGACAGGGGCCACTCTTGCCATTTGGCATCCAACCTACTCTGAACACTTAATGTAAGCACTTTGGCAACAAACAAGCTCATGGCTAACTCTGAGTACTAAACTTAATTAGTGTTCACACAGGCTGGAGAGAAAGAAGGCTGAGGGGAACATGGGATCTGAGCTAGAAGGAACTCTGGCGTTGGAATGAAGAAAAGCTGTGGGTCTTAACTCTGGGTCTGTCTTTGGGAGTTAGGTCATTTACTGTTTGCTTCTTAGCATTTTCTCGTTTGCATACTTACCATTGAATAGGTGCTATTCTAAGCGCCTGCCTTACCCATCGAACTTCACCAGTGCATCTGTCAGGGAATACTATTGTCACTCTCATTTTCTCAGTGAGGAAACTGAGCCCCAGAGAGGTTAACTGTGGTCACACAGCTAGCAAGTGGCAGAGCTGGGATTTGTCTTTGGAGTCTGTTCCTAAATACTGTGCCTTACCTCAAATGCTTAAGGCCTTTTAGAGTGAATTTGGAGGTGGTCTTTCATTATTGTCCTGCTTTGTCTCTGGAGTCATGGGCTGCTTTAAGATGTAAGTCTGAGACCCTGGAGGCTGGAGGGCTTGCCAATGGTCACAGTGGAGGGACTTGAACTATTTGAGAACTCTTGTAGTCCAGATTCATTTCCTGGTTTGCTTTCCTTCATTGTTACAGACCAGAAACATCCAGTGAAGGTCCCCAGGTTTCTGTCCCCCCCCCTTTTTTTTTTCCTTGAGAAAAGAACCAAGTAAGGAACAGTATTGACAGGAGTTGGTGATGCTGTTTGACAAGAGGAAGCAGTGTGTTTTCCTTGTGGGAACTGGGCTGGGACATTTATTGGCTCCAGTAGAAGGAAATCTTAGTGTTGTCTCACACACTTACTGGAACCATGGGCCTTGGCCCTCTTTTCTCTGGAGAGGAAGTCTTTCTGAGTTTTAAAATAATGTGTGGAACAGAAAACAAAACAAATAGCATTATCATGGTCTTACTACTGAAAACCACTCCTTCGAAGCAAATTTGCTTGTCACTGCAGAAGGAAATTCCTTTCCTGGGGCTCTATCTTTCCTTCTCTCCTTTTATTTTCCGGGTTCCTGAGCATATTATACCTGATTTATTTACCTATTTATATAATATGTGACTTATGTCATATTTATTTCACTCATTTATATGATACAAGTAATGAGTGAATGCATTTGCATTCAAGTGAGTGCAATGAAATATAGACCTGCCATTAGCTCTGCTACCACTCAGTAAATTGTCATTCTAAGATTTCTTTCCTGAAGATCTACAGAATACATTTTTGTTTTCCTGGTTGGTCATGGGGCCTGAACTCTGGGCCTGGGCACTGTCCCTCAGCTCTTCAGCTCAAGGCTAGCGCTCTACCACTTGAACCATAGCTCCACTTCCAGTTTTTTCCGCTTATGTGGTGCTGAGGAATCGAACCCAGGGCCTCATGTATGCAAGGCAAGCGCTCTATCACTCAGCCACCTTCCCAGCCCGCAGAATACATTTCCTACAGTATAGCTATTCCTTCTGCCTTTCAGATTGTAAAGTCTTTCCATATGTGCACATACATCTTTGTAAATGGTTCCATGTGACAGGAAAGAAGAAACTGAATATAACTTATCCACCACTTCCTTTATGGATGGGCATTCTGGGCGTTGGAGAGCTCTTCAACATCAGCAACAATGCCTCAGGGACGATTGTGCTCAGGTGTGAGTATCACTTCAGGACAGAAGCCCATGAAACTACTTGATAGTTACAGTCCTCAAGTCACAGCCGGCTCCCCTCTTCCCTCTCCCCTCTGTGCTTAATTAAACCCAGGATGCAATAATCTAGTCCCTCTCACCTCTTCTAACAACTGCAGTTATCTTTAAAGTTTTTTTTCAAACATGGTAAATTAGTGGAATCTGGTATAACATTTTAATTTGTATTTGGCTACTTACTACTGCAATTTAACATCTCTATATACTTACGGGTCATTTGTTTTTACCTGTTCAGATGCCTTGCTCATTTTCTTCCCCCCCTCCCCCCCCACGTTTAGCATGAACATTTAAAGATTAACTTTTAAAAATTATCTTTAAGTATTTGTACCTTATTTTTCTATTGTGTTGATTTTGCTTATTCTACATATTGCAGACACTCTGTCCTCTAGATTTTAATCCTTTGCAATAATGCTGTATTCCCCCCGCCCTTTTTTTTTTTTTTTTTTTTTTGGTCCACCATGGGTCTTGAACTCTGGGCGTGGGCACTGTCCCTTGGCTCTTTAGCTCAAGGTGAATGCTCCACCACTTGAGCCACAGCTCCACGTCTGGTTTTCTGGTGGTTTCTTGGAGATAAGTCTCACAGACTTTCCTGCTTAGGCTGGCTTTGAACCATGATCCTCAGATCTCAGCCTCCTGAGTAGCTAGGATTACAGGCGTGAGCCACTGGTGGCTGGCTATTTTCCCAATTTTTAAAGTCATTAATAACATAGTAGTTACCATTTCAGTGGACCATTTGGTATTATTAAGTATGTTCACATTGTTGTACCATCATTATCTGCAACCAGCTCTGGAACTCATTTGATCTTGCAAAGCTGGAACTCATTCCATTAATTAACAGCTCCCTATTTTCTCTTCCCTTGTCCCCTGACAGCCATTCTATTTCTTCCTTTGAGCTTGACTAAGTGAGGCACTCATGTGGCTGATTCATGTAGTATAACATTTCTAAGGTTCACCTGCATTGAACATAGTTGAGCATATGTCAGCAATTGTGGGGCATATGTCAGCGTTTGCTTCATTTTTAAGGTTGAATAATATGCCATTTTCTTTCTTCATAATGCATTTTTCTTCAGCCCTTTTTTGTTTTAAATATTTATATAATTGGTGCAACAGTGAAATGCTCTCTGTGCTCTTCTAATTTAGGAAAGTCTTCTTCAATTTAAGATTAAATAATTTTATTTTCTTCTAATACTTTTATTTGGGACTTTTACATGCAATTTTGAAAATATCGTTTTTTAAACTGAAATAAAATTTCACTAAAACTTTTCTAAATTTCTAGAAAGTTGATCTCACAATGATTTAATAGTTCAACTTTATTTTTAATTCATCTCAATTCAGAGTTGGTTTTGTTTTGTTTTGTTTGTGATTTGGGTTTGGTTTGTTTTGGTTTGATAGGCTTTTACTATGTAGTCCAAACTTAAACTCACCTTAAACTCACAAACTTTCTTCCTCAGATTTCTTAGTGCAGGAATTATAGATATGTACCACCACACTTGGCTAAAATTTGACTTTTGTCATAAAATAAATTCCTATTTACAAAAGAGCCTGTTTCAGGACCCTAATCTTTTAATTAATCTTTTTACCTCTCTTGTTAAAGCGTGTTTATACTTATAATGTACATTGATCAGACTCACCTCTCCTTCATTCTCTCTCCTCTCTCTTAGGACAACTTCAGGTTTTATTGTTCTGCTTTCCTACATTCACATAAGTGCTCTTTACACGACTTATGTAACTGTAACCCCTCTGTACATCACCTTTATAATAATAATAATTTTTAAGAACTTTGAGGGCTGGGAAGGTGGCTCAGTGGTAGAGCGCTTGCCTTGCATGCACGAGGCCCTGGGTTCGATTCCTCAGCACCACATAAGCAAAAAGAAAAAAGCCGTAAGTGGCGCTGTGGCTCAAGTGGTAGAGTGCTAGCCTTGAGCTGAAGAGCTGAGGGACAGCGCCCAGGCCCAGAGTTCAGGCCCCACGACTGGACTTAAAAAAAAAAAAAAAAGAACTTTGAGTGTATTCACCCTCATTCACTTTCTCCTTTGCCTTCCTGCTCCCAAAACAGCCTGTTTATGGTTTTTTCAGTACATTTTATATATACAAAGGGACTTTCC